CATTTTGCCTGCTGATTTCGGGGTGTCGTTAAGTTAAAATACACACCTTGCAGTGGTTCGTATGAACGGGTGTGATTATGATGAGGTGCAGAATTCGCACAGAAACCAATACAAATTCCGCACCACATCAGTGTGAACCCAGGCTTAGTCTGTTGTTTTTCAACAGACCAATCTCTCCTGCAAACGTAGAAAGACAACATTGTATTTTTTATTGGTGGAAGAAGGGTATTTATTTTATTTTTTTAAATAATATTTTCACTCAATATTTGACATTTAGAAGGATATTTTGTATTTCTTTAAATTGTTACTAAACCCAGGACCCTGCATTCAATATATCTGGTCTCCCACAGTACACAGAACATGGAAGTGCAATTATTTTAGTAAATATAACCTGCTAAATAACTTTTCTCATCAGCAAACAGATCACTCTTGTGACTTCTATCAGTGTTCAGCAGAGCACTGGGTAAAGCCTGTAGGAGTTTTCTGGCTGTCCTATGAGGCTGAATAACCTCAGACGCCTGGCGCTCTGTACTATCAACAGATAGACAGGGTACAGTAGAAGGGGAGGGGACAGTAAAAGGGGAGGATAACAGAAGACAGGATCATACAGCCTTTTTGCACAATTTGGACAAGTAACCCCTTAGGTTCCACAGTGAGTATAACAAGCATGCTTTACTGCATATACAGACTGATTTTACTGTTGTGGGTTTAGTAACGCTTTAATTTACCTTAGTTGTATTTTATATACCATGTGTGTCCTGTGTAACCACCTTCCCTTTTGACTGGTATTCTAGTCACCTTTTTTCTTTTGTATTAACCACTTGCCCTATAGTAGAAGTACTGCTACAGGGCGGTGCAAAATCACGTGTGTATATATACGTGCTTTGCATTTCCGGGTATGGGCGCCGCCCCACCTGCAGTGCCATTGGTGGCTAGGAATATCAATGACTGGGTCCCGGCCCGAGATTCCTCGGCGTATTAAACTGACAGGGGAGAGACCTGTGTGTAAACAACACAGGTCTCTCTCCTGCCAGCAAGGACATGCTGCTGTGTATTTCTCTGCACAGCAGAGAGATACAAAGTAGCATGTCTCTGTAGTTAAACAGCGCACAGCACACATAAACCCTTTGATCGCCCAAAAGTTAAACCCTTTTCTGCCCAGTGTCATTAGTACAGTGTCAGTGCTTTTTATTAGCACAGATCACTGTATTGGTGTCAATGGGGATGTAAGTGGCAGTTAGTCAGTCCCCCCCCCCCCAATGTCAGAATGCCCGCAATAAGTTGCTGATCGCTGCCATTACTAGCACAAAAAAATAAATAGATAAAAATTCCAGTATATATATACTGCCATCGGTAAATGCTATAACGTTCACATAAACCAATTAATTTACATGTATTGGGATTTTTTTTTTTAGCAAAGACCTGTAGCAGAATACATTTTGGCCTAAATTTATGACGAAATTAGATTTTTAAAAATCTTTTTATTGGACATGTTTTATAGCAAAAAGTGAAAAATATTGGTTTTCTTTCAAAATTGTCAGTAGTTTTTTTTGTTTATAGCGCAAAAAATAAAAACCGCAGAGGTGATCAAATAACCACCGAAAGAAAAGTTCTATTTGTAGGGAAAAAAAAGCACATACATTTAATTTATGTACAGAGTTGTATGACTACACAAATGTCAGTTAAAGTAACACAGCACTGTATCGCAAAAAATTGCCTGGTCAGGAGCGGGGGGGGGGGGGGGGGGGGGGGTTTGGTAAATCCTCTGGACAAGTGGTTAATATATATCCTGCAGGGACCGCACTGACTTATTTCTACAGTTTAAACCATTATACCTCTTTATTAGTAATAAAAACTGACAGGGGTTCTAATCCTTCTCCACTGTATCCATGCCAGTGGATATCACGAGATAAAATACTGCATGGTTGCATGAGATAAATACCACATATTTCGAAAATCTACTGGATGTGGTATTTTTGTAGCATTTTTTTGTGAATACCAAAATATTTAATTTTTTTTTTTTTTTACTTGAGGTGAGACGATTGTAGCCGTATTAGTGCATTTGTGACAGAAACAATTGAGTACTGTCCGTGATACTTTTTTTTTATTGTATGTTAGTGCAAATAAAAAAAGTATCACGGACAGTACTCAATTATTTATTTTTTTTAAAAGCTTAGCTGAGTATTTTACTGCATTTCTTCAAGTGGTCGATACTGCTTTGTGAATGGAGCCCAGTGTCTCTTAATTTCGGGACAGTAGAGAAGAAATTCTCAGTAGTGTTACTAAACATGCATGACTACATTTTTTAAATACACTTTTCCAACCACCAGGATTGCCTTTCTACTAAGAACAATGGAACTTTTATATAATGAGTGGGAGGATGCCTGTGTTGCATATGGCAATCAATTTTCATTTTCAGAAAATGATAGTTGGAATTATAGTTTAAACCAGCCATTACACATCAATAATTTTTAAAGGAATGCTTATGTAAAGTTCATGTGTAATTTAACCACTTTCAGGCTGCCCCCCTGCAATGTACTGTGGACAGGCTGCAGCTACAGGATGTCGCTGGTCTCGACCCTCCCTCCCCCATGTGGACACAGTGGAATGAGAATCCCGCTAATCGGGACCCAATGATCCTGTGATCGCTATGTAATCACATGATCACAATGACAACAAAGGTTTTATGAATCAATCTGATTCATAAAAGCTTTGCTTCTGTTCCTGGAGAGCTGTGATTGGAGCCAATCATAGATCACTGTTATATTGAACGGTCATGAACTTAACACATTCATGACATTACTATGATAACATTGCACTACTCTGATGAAAGTATTTATTTAAAAAAATAGTTAAAAAAAAATGTTAAAAAAAAAAATTAAAATGTTAATTTTGAGAAATTAACTAATTGCTGCCCGCCCACCAACAATGTGCGAGTGAGCAGCAGCTCTGGGCAAAGCGGCGTAATCTTATGCCGCTTTCTATTTCTGGCTGTTTGTGCGCCCCCTGCTGCCCTCTATGCCATCCAGGGAGAGAAGAACAAACACGGCACTGAGTAAAAGCACTACATTTTACACACATGTAAGATTGGCACATTTAACTATTTGATCGCCCCATTAACCCTCTGATCACCCCGTCCCCAGCCAGTGTCATTAGTACAGTGTCAGTATATAGAATTTTTCAATGTTCACTGTATTACTGCCCCTAGTGACATCAGATAGTGTCAGGATCTGTAAGCTCCCTCCCAGCCAGGGTAAACTAATGTTAAATTGCTTGCAGACTATCATGCTCACGCTATAGGTCACTGATCACTGCCATTACTAGTATAGTGTATGCACAGATCAATATATTGAGCACGAACAGAACTATACTAGTGCCACCTTAGTAGAGTGTTCCCAAAAACACAGTGTTGGCAGGATCGACCCTGTTTGTCTCTTTTGTTTCCTGTTTGTAAGACTGGTGGCTGCTATGCCTTCTATTCCCCCAGCCACTGGTCTTGGCATATCCCTTCTATAGTACTTTTTCCAGGAGGCAGTGGTGTAATTCAGCCCCATTTGCAGTGGTGGGTGGACTGATTCTCTCAGACGCATTCAACATGTACAGGCCTAGTGTACCCACCCACATTCACTACAATTTCCTGTGGTTGATGGGAAATGTAGTTTCCTTTCACTGCAGAGAGAAAGGAGAGGATATGACATTATCCCTTCTGGAAGAGCAGATGCCATTATCTTTTGAATTACATAGATTAGATATGAAAATTCAATTTGACATTTCTCCTCAATGTTAAGGTTTTTCAAAATGTTATTAATGGTTTAGTGTTTTGTGTAGGGGGGTGTACTAATGGGTGATTGTTTTGCCTATCCCATAGTTCAGGGGTCTGCAACCTTTAAGACATAAAGAGCCACTTGGACCCGTTTCCGAGAGGGAAAAAAAGACTGGGAGCCGCAAAACCATTGCAACATTTAAAACAAATCTGACACTGCATATATTGCAAAAAACGCTCTGGTCATGAAGGGGGTTTAAGGGCCCAGTAAGCAAAGGGTTAATCAGGGCCACAGTGTATCGTCATAATCACAATCATAGCCTTAGGTCAGTGGTGGGCAACCTTTTTTTTCAACTGAGCCAAATCTCGCCAAAACCACGATTGAAATTTATTTTGAGAGAAACATTTTTAAAACTGAAAATACATCCCCCATATAGTAATACATCCCCCATATAGTAATACATCCCCCATAGTAATTCATCCCCCATATAGTAATTCATCCCCCCTATAGTAATTCATCCCCCCCATAATAGTATATTCCCCCCTATAGTAATTCATCCCCCCTATAGTTTCATTCCCCATATTGTGTGAATTCACTTACCTTTGCTCCGCGCGTTCCTCTCGCTGGGTTCCCGCGCCGTTCTGGTCTTCAGGGCGGACTGTGAGAGGAGAGGAGTTCGTCACGCTGCCCCGCCTACATCCGGGCTGCCCCGCCTACATCCTGACAGCCAATGTTTGCCAGCGGGCGCCCGGCACACAGAAGAGCTGCATTAAAAGAGCCGCGGCTTGCCGACCCTATTGCCTGTCACCTGGTGGGCAGTGTGCTCCGGAGCCGCAGGAAAGGTGAAAAAGAGCCGCATGCCGCGGGTTTGCCGACACCCGCCATAGTTCTTTAAGAGTAACTTTGGAAATGTTTGCTCCTGAATTTTGGTACTGCCTATACAATTTAGACATTCTGAATGCTATATTAATTTGAATATTTGCATCTATACCATGTCTAAACCATATATGCCTATATTGGGTCTAAGTCTAAAATAATTTACACTTTTTAAACTTAAGTTTTTAGTTGATTTTGTTCTGGAATAAAGCTTCAGTAACATTAGTTACCTCTAGGGGCGGACTGACAACTCATGGCCCCCCCCGGGCAATAGGGATCATGGGGCCCCTGTGTCCTTGCCCAAACTCAAAAAGCCTATGAAAAAGGTACCAGGGGCATCTCATGGGGCCCCCTACTGACCTCGGGCAGTGCCCGAGTTTCCAAATGGTCAGTCCGCCCCTGGTTACCTCTAATGAATTGTATCTCATGTCCTGATTGCTGCTTAGTGTAGAAATATACTCTGCAGTGACAAGTTCTCTTCGCACCAATGAACTTCCAGCACTGCAGGGGTTAGCTTCTTTGGCTCTAATATTGAAGCACATTAAAGATGTTCTGATGCTGCTTACTCCTTTCTGTCCTCTCTTCCATTCAAAAGTCCTTGCATTGTTTTCACAAGACTGATTCATGTTCTGTGAATGGGAGAGGGAATCCTTTCATACATCTGTCTCTCCTCATTCAGAGAATTTCTGGAATTCTGTGAAAACAGTACAAGGACTTTTCTGAATGGAGAAGAGAGAGAGAGACGGGGGCAGGTAGCCATCAGGACTTCTTTAATGTACTGCAGCGTTACAGATAGGGAAATTAACCCCTGCAGCACCAGTAGTTCAGCACTGTGAAGAGGACCTGGAAATGGATCTACATTAAATTGGAATTCCAGACTGATTGTAACTCTGCTTAAACCTGCTTCCACCCCTTTTAAATCATATTCAAACTACCCTGTGAAAGCAAAATGTATTTTATATTTTTATTTCAGGTACTTCTATAGCGCTGTCAATTTACGCAGCGCTTTACATACATATATTGTACATTCACATCAGTCCCTAACCCTCAAGGAGCGTACAATCTAAGGTCCCTAACGTACATTCATACATATACATACTATGGCCAAATTAGATAGGAGCCAATTAACCTACCAGCATGTCTTTGAAGTGTGGGAGGAAACCCACGCAGTCACAGGGAGAACATGCAAACTCCAGGCAGGTGGTGCTGTGGTGGGGATTTGAACCAGTGACCCTAGTACTGCCAGGTGAAAATGCTAACCATTTAGCCACTGTGCTGCCCAAAATGCTTATACTTGCCTATGAGGGCACTCTGGGCCTGATGGAACAAAAATGCTGCGGCTAAGGTCACTTTTCCGGAGAACCTTAGGACTGTGGACTACACATGACTATGTAGGGTGATAGCTGCCTCCTCTTGTCCAGTTTCCAGATGCTTTGGATTAAAGCTGATTTAAGTGACATTTCCTTGGAAATACCTTCAAATAAAGTGTTATTAGTAGAAATGCCCTTCCAGTCTTTTTGGTCGTAACGATACAACTATAGAGAATTACCAAACTTGCAGATTTTTGGTGCTGAATGAGGGGATGTGTCTGACCAGGTCTGTTAGATCACAACATACACTGGGCAGAGGGGTCACATTGTGGTGCCCACATGATGGTGCAGTCATATGTAGACACGGTGCACAACTGCTAAGTGAGGTTGTAGGTGCAATGTCTATTTGACTGAATATCTAGGATTTATTCTACATTTATACAGCTTGTATTGGTTAATGACTTCAAGAAAGTGAAACCACTGTCTCACTTTTTCTTGTTTTCTGTTAGATGTGGAAATATATCTGTGGACTGTCTCAGCCTGAACAGCCAATGGGAGCTTCCACCTCACACAGAGACAGTTCTTTTCCATGGCTACATGGGGGACAGGAAGTGAGACAGTCACTGGGGCTTTGAGGGGTCTGTTCCAGATAGAGGAAGGAACACTGCACCGCAAATACAAGATCCTTTACTTTGTGCTTGTCATGATATGGGTCTCTGCCAGTCCCAGGTATTAATTCCTTGTTCCTAATCCCTCCTGGCCATAGGAAGAGCTTCCTCCAATTAGTATTCACTCCTGTGTACCAAAGACCCCTAGCTGTAATTAACTCGCTACTCCACAAAAGGTCCCAAATTTAGGAAGAGCTTCCTCCAATTAGTATTCACTCCTGTGTACCAAAGACCCCTAGCTGTAATTAACTCACCCCTCCACAAAAGGTCCCAAATTCAATTAGTGTATACATCCCTAATTAGTGCCTTACTTTTGTATTAAATGTATTTCCCCCCATTAATTATCCTGCCTAACCAGTCCTTTCTGTGTACAGCCACAAATTAAATTACTGTAGTTCCATTCTCTTCATTGTCACCTGCTAATGACCCCCCTCCGCCTCTCTTCCTGCTCAGGGGGTTTAAGAGGTCAGTGCTGGTCTCTCTTGTTGTGCCATTCTGCTGGGCAACCACTGAGGGGTCCAGCTGGACTCTAGTGGCCCCACGGCTCTGCCTGAGCCCCATTGGAGGAAGGGGGATCCCAGAAGCTACAACAGCCCTGCCTGGAATGCTATCAGCTCTGCCTGAGACTATCGCATCAGCTGTGTATGCTCCCCTTGTGCTGACTGCTTATGAACTGCCTCTTGGATTACAAATTGCTGTAGAGCCTTTAACTTTGCCCACTGGGGCTGGATTACAAGTATTTTGGACTCTCTCTCCCTGCACTACTCCCCATTGAGTGACTGTTGTCTGTGTTAATAAAGCTTTAAGTGTTTGCCGTCTGCCTTGTGTGTTCTGTCCCGCTTACCCTCCGTCACAGTGCTCAAATGTAATACTTCATAGGTATTGCGGCAGCACGTGGTCATCTTGTAAACACAATGGAAGACAGTTAAGGCTAGGAGTAGCATGAAGTGGATTATTATTATTGTAAGCATGTATAGTGGTCTCTGTAAGACACTGGTAGCAGTACAAAACCTTAGCGACCTTTCTTTTATTATATATTCTTTATATATATATATATATATATATATATATATATATATATTACACACTGCTCAAAAAAATTAAAGGAACACATTTTAATCACAGTATAGCATCAAGTCAGTTAAACTCCTGAGATTTTGATCTGGTCAGTTAAATAGCAGAGGGTGTTGTTAATCAGTTTCTGCTGCTTTGGTGTTAGTGAAATTAACTGGTGCACTAGATGGGCAATAATGAAACGACCCCCAAAACAGGAATGGTTTTAAAGGTGGAGGCCACTGACCTTTTTTTCCTACTCATCTTTTCTGATTTTTTTTTTCACTAGTTTTGCATCTGGCTAGGATCAGTGTTACTACTGGTAGCATGAGGCGATACCTGGACCCTACAGGGGTTGAACAGGCAGTCCAACTCCTCCAGGACGGCATACGTGCCATTGCCAGAAGGTCTGCTGTCTCCCAGCACAGTCTCAAGAGCATGAAGATGATTATATTAGACAGGCAGTTACTCTAGGAAAGCTGGACAAGGTCGTAGAAGGTCCTTAACCTATCAGCAGGACCAGTATCTGCTCCTTTGTGCAAGGAGGAACAGGATGAGCACTGCCAGAGAGCGGTTGCCAGGAGAACGATACTTTCCTGACTGCATTGTGTCAAGAGTAAAGTTTGGTGGAGTGGGGATTATGGTGTTGGGTTGTTTTTTTTAGGGGTTGGGCTTGGCCCCTTAGTTCCAGTGAAGAGAACTCTTAAGGCATCAGCATACCAAAACATTTTGGATAATTTCATGTGAGAACAGTTTGGGGATGGCCCCTTCCTGTTCCAACATGACTACACACCAGTGCACAAAGCAAGGTCCATAAAGATATGGATGAGTGAGTTTGGGGTGGAGCAACTTGACTGGCCTGCACAGAATTCTGACCTCAACCCAATAGAATACCTCTGGAAAGAATTAGAATGGAGACTGCGAATCAGGCCTTTTTCTTCCGACATCAGTGCCTGACCTCACAAATGCACTTCTAGAAGAAAGGTCAAGCATTCTCATAGACACACTCCTAAACCTTGTGGACGGCCTTCCCAGAAGAGTTGAAGCTGTTATTGCTGCAAAGAGTGGACCAACTCAGTATTGAACCTTACGGACTAAGACTGGTATGCCATTAAACTTCATGTGCATGTAAAGGCAGGCGCCCCAATACTTTTGGCAATATAGTGGATATGTATTTATATATAATATATTTTTTTAAAAGGGGAAATGCAGATATATTCACCAGGCGGATGGGCAGAAAATATAAAAAAAAATGTAAAAGTGAGCGCTATCCAGACAGCAGCTGAGCACTCAAGGTAACCAACATAAGCCTTATAAACCGAATAAGTAAACAGTGCAGCGCTAAAACTATGATAAACAGTATAAAATTAAATAAAATAAACTGAGTTCAATGTAAACAGTCTGTGTGATTATAAAGTGCCAGGTGACTGGTAAAATTCAATGGCGGTGCTCCTTGAGAAATGGCGGAATTATGCACTCACCAGATGTGCAATAGTTATACGCATTAAATATCACATCCAGAGGTTTCCTCATCAGATAAGGGTCTGGTCAAAGTTAAGGTAATCCTCCCTCAGGGTGGTGGTCATCAAATGCCCAGAATCAAAATTACTCGGATCCAGGTAACCAGAGGTCCCTTTAAGGGATAGGTAGAAGAGGATGCCTGCTTACAGGATGTCTTCCTTCTCTGGGTAAGGCAACTGGATCATAATTATGGGATCTGCAAATAAATGCTCCTCTCATGGAGTCCATAGCGTAGTATTTAAATAAATATTTATTGAGTAAAAAAGATGTTTGCAAACTGCATAAAATGAAAAAACAGCATCAGGGGTGTAGAAGTGAAACTAACCCTCCAGTAATCAAAGATGGCCGCCGGGCCTCCACGTGGCTCCGGCAGCATAGCGTCAGAAAATGCACATGAAAGAGTGATCAGGTCCTTTACAGGGAATAATGGGTAAAAGCTTGGTTTCTCTTAGCTCAGAGTATCAGGTGATTTATAAATACAGTAACTGAGCATTCACATGTTGGCAAGAACTGATAAATCCTTTTGAAATTGACCATTGTCTCAACAAATGATGAAAAACAATAGTAACAAGTTAGGTGAATGATTAGTTGGTGTATTTGGGATCCTATATAAATGTGCTCCTGCTAACACTATGGCTTAAAGAACTTTTGAGCAGTTGTTTTATACCCCCTTTGTGTCTCCTTCGGCTTTGATGGAACTAAAATATTGGTTAATAATTTGTAGTATAAAATTATCATCCTCAACCATCACACTCTATATTTCACAAACTAATTTTATGGAACATGGAAGGATATAAAATTCCAAAGTCAAACTTGGTCAAGTAGGATCCAAACGTAAGTGGTTGTAGAGGGCAACTGCCATCATTTTCTTTTGCTCTGCCTCCCGTGACTTTGAGAACTGTGCATGTAAACATCTACACTCCTTGCTTATTTTCATGGAGGGAATGTCTCATCTTTTAGGCTGCATTCACACTCTTGAGCATTTTGTAGCTTAAAGCTCCAAGCTCCAAAAATGCTCAAGTGTAAAAAATCAATTGTTCTCTATGGTGCTTGTTCGCGCAATT